TCAGGATTGCATTATATCTGTAGATTATTTGGGTAGTATTGAAATTTTCACAATGTTGAGTCTTCCTATCCATGACATTGGTATGTTTTACATTTATGTCTCTTTTGGTTTCTTGCAGTATTGCTTTATAGTTTTCTTTGTATAGGCCATTTACATCACTGATTAGATTTATTCCAAAGTATTTTGTGTTTTGGGGGGCTATTGTAAGTGGTATTGATGACCTCATTTCTTTTTCAAAGTTCTTTTTGTTGTTGTAGAAGAATTCAACTAATTTTTTTATGTTAATCTCATATCCTGCTACTCTGCTGAAAGCTTCTATTAGTTCCAGTAGCTTTCTTGTGGATTCTTTGGGGTTTTCTATGTGTAGGATCATATCATCTGTGAATAGGAATAGTTTTACCTCTTCCTTACCATTTGGATGCCCTTTCTTTCTTTTTCTTGCCTTATTGCTCTAGCTAGGACTTCCAGCACAATGTTGAATAAGAGTGGTGATAAAGGGTATCCTTGTCTGGTTCTTGTTCTCAACAGGAATGCTTTCAGTCTCTATTAAGAATATTGTTGGCTGTTAGTTTTGTATAAATGCCCTTTATTATGTTGAGGAATTTCCCTTCTATTACTATTTTGCTGAGAGTTTTTATCAGGAATGGGTGTTAGACTTTGTCAAATGCCTTTTCTGCATCAACTGAGATGATCGTGTGATTCTTTCTTGTGTTTTATTTATGTAATGTATTATGTTGACTGATTTCCTAATGTCAAACCATCCTTGCATATCTGGTATGATTTCCACGTGGTCACGGTGTATTATTTTTTGATATGCTGTTAGATTCTATTGGCTAGAATTTTGTTGAGAATTCTTGCATCTATATTCATGAGAGATATTGGTCTGTAGTCTTCTTTTTTTGTGGCATCTTTGCCTGGTTTTGGTATCAGCATTATGCTGGCTTTATAGAATGAGTTTGGAAATATTCCTTCCTTTTCTATGCTTTGAAATAGTTTGAGAAGTATTGGTGTGAGCTCTTCTCTGAATGTTTGGTAGAATTCTCCAGTGAAGCCATCCGGGCCAGGGCTTTTTTGTTGTTGTTGAGAGTTTTTTTTATTACCTCTTCAATCTCTTCTTTTGTTATGTTCTGTTTAGTTTTTCTCTCTCTGTTTATGTTAGTTTAGGTAGGGAGTGTGCTTCTAGAAATCTGTCCATTTCCTCTAGGTTTTCAAATTTGTTGGAGTACAATTGTTCATAGTATTCTGTTATGATCATTTTTATTTCAATTGATTCTGTTGTGATTTCACCCATCTCATTTCTTATTTGAGTTATTTGCTTCTTCTCCTGCTTTTCTTTTGTCAGTTTGGCCAATGGTTTGTTGATATTGTTGATCCTTTCAAAGAACCAACTTCTGTTCTTGTTGATTCTTTCTATTGTTTTTCTGTTTTCCACTTCCTTTATTTCTGCTCTAATCTTTATTGTTTCCTTTCTTCTGGCGACTCTGGGCTTCTTTTGCTATTCTCTTTCCATTCGTTCAAGTTGTAGGGCTAATGTTTTGATTTTGGCCCTTTCTTCTTTTTTGATGTGTGCATTTATTGCTATAAATTGACAACTAAGCACTGCTTTTGCTGTGTCCCAGAGGTTTTGGTAAAATAAATTTTCATTCTCATTTGATTCTATAAATTTTTTTATTGTATCCTTGATTTCTTCTATTATCCAGTGGTTTTTAAGCAAAGTGTGGTTCAGTTTTCCATGTATTTGATTTTTTTTTCCTTGCTCTACCTGTTACTGATTTCTACTTTTATGGGGTTGTAATCAGAGAAAATTCTCTGTAGTATTTCGTTGTGGGTCTCAGCTAGGAATGCTGCTTGCTTTGCTCAATATTGCTGCACTGTGCAGGCTCAGCCAGCAGGGTGCTGGTGCAGGTAACCGGAGGGTGTAGAAAGCACTGCAAATCCATGTACCTCCTGCACCAGTGGCTAAGCAAAGGGGAGGGTGCCTCCGGACCACGCTGAGAGCTTCTGGCTTAGGGGGTGGGGTGGAATCAAATTCCACAGATCTGCAGCTGCAAGCAGGGAGAGGAAGTGTGCAGGGAGGGTGCAAGTGTCTCCCAGGTCCGTGGACCTCTGGTGCCGGGGGCTAGTGTGTGGGGTGTCTGCTAACTTTTGCAGGTTTGGAAGCCCTCCTCATATCTGATCCCTGAGTTGCATGCAGAGTCACTCACACTTAGCCGCTGCAGATGAAGTGTGCTTCAGCTGGAAATGCTGCCTTCCTTGTCCCAGTATGGCCACGCTGTGCCAGCTGGACCAGCAAGGATATGGCGTGGGTGACTGGAGAGGGTGGAAGGCACTGCAAATGCATGCACTTCTTGCACTAGTGGCTGGGTGAAGGGGCGGGTGCCTCCAGACTCGACCGTGAACTCCTGGCTTAGAGGGCATGGTGGTGTTGAATGCCACCAATGGAGTAGAGAACGGGGAGAGGGAATAAGTGAGGAGGGTGGGAGTGACTCTCAGGCCTGTGGAGCTCTGGCATGGCGGGGGGGGGGGGGCTTGGGTGCACACGGTGGGTTGGGGGATTACACTTAACTTTTGCCGGCTGGAAGCACTCCTGGCTTGCTCTGGAGTTACATGCAGAGTCGCTTCTGCTTAGCTGCACCAGATGGTGTGGGTTTCAGCTGGGAATGCTGCTTGCTTATCTCAATACATCCACACCGTGTGGGTTCTGCTAGCCGGATGCTGGCTATCAGTAATTCTCCGTTTCTGCTGTTTCTGAACCTGTCACTCAGTCGATTCTTCAGCCTTGTCTTTGATGCTTAGCTTCCTAAATTGTCATATATATCCGATTCACTTGCTTTTTCAGGTCTTTGTTGTAAGAGGGATGACACGAAGCATCTAACTACTCTGCCATCCTGGACCGCCTCTGCTGATGACTTTTTGGTGTGTAGTTTTCTTTCTGAATTTCTCTCTCCCTCTCTCTCTCTATCTATATATGTGGATGCACGTGCGTGTGCATGGGTGTATTCTCGGTGGCACGAACAGTTAAGTGTTCAACTACTAGCCAAAAGATTGGCAGTTCAAATCTACCCGAGGCACCTCTAAAGACAAGACCTGGCGATCTGCTTCTGAAAGGTCACAGGCTTGAAAACCCTATGGAGTAGTTCTACTCTATATACGTGAGGTCATCATGAGTTGGAATCCACTTGATGGCAACTAACAACAACAACAGTATGTGTGCAGAGTAGAACTACGCTCCGTAGTGCCTCTGGGTGTGTTCAAACTGCCAGCTATTCGGTTAGTAGTCAAGGGCTTAACCGACTGCACCACACACGCACGTATACATACATATGTGTTTATTTAAATAATTGAAATCATACTGTGTACAAAATTTTGCACTGTGATTTTTTTATCATGTTATGTAACATTCTTTGTAAACTTAGCTTTAATGACTGCATAGTATACTATATAGATGTACTATAATTTATGAAACCATTTCCATACTACTGAACACTTAGTTATTTAGTTATTCTGAATCATTATAAATAACAATATGATTGGATTATTTGTGCATATACCTTTTACCGAAATTCAGATTATTTCCTTTGGATGCATTGCTAGAAGTAGAATTACTGAGTAAATAAGATAAATATTCTGCAGTCCCTTGCTATAAACTGTCAAATTTCTTTCCATCAGGTTTAGAGCAATTTATCATCCCGCCAGAAAATACAAAATGTTCATCTTGTCACACCCCACTATGTAACAAATAGTATTTTTAAAACAAGAAAAAAGAGAGAGATGTACTTAGAAGTAAAGATGTTCGTTGCTTCTCAGCCAGATCACTTCAGTATCCACTTCCCCTAAGTAAATCATGAATTAATTATTATAATAAATATCACCAAGAACAATGGACAGAGTATTGATGTTGCAAGGAGGTTCTTTAGAGATCTTTTGTAATCAACTCTTAGTGTGGGTTCTCTTCAGAAGTAAACCAGCGGCGCATACGTAGATAAACAGAAAGAAATTTACTTCAAGGAAATGGCTCACGCTATTTTGAGGAAATGGCTCATGCAATTGTGGGGGCTGGCAAGTCCCAAATAGTGGATTAGCTGACAGGCTGAAGACCTCTGCTGGCTCATGTGGTTGCAGGGGATGACAAACCCAAAATCTGCAGGTCAGGTGGCAGGCTGGAGGCTTCTGTTGGATCATGGAATTGTAGAGGTTGTTGAATCCAAAATATGCAAGTCAGGCAACAGGCTACAGGCTTCTGCAGGTTTATGTTCCAAGAACTGGAGGTCAGATGCTGTTGTGGTGGAGAAAAGAGAGTAAGCTTTGCCAGAACATCCATTTATATACTGGAGGCATGCCACACCCCCAAGGAAACTCCCCTACCAACTGATTGGCTGCTCACATCAGATCACAAAATGGAAAGTGATTACATAGTGTCTGCTGAACCGAGATTCATATCCTAGCCAAGTTGACATATAACATTAACGATCACATCAACTATTCAGACAGTGAATCAGACAGGGTCCCAGCAGGTACTAGACATCGCACTGGAATGAGTTGAGGAGAGTATAATAAGTGATTATTTACAAAGGGGTGGGACAGTCAAGATGGTCCCTGGGTGGCACAAATGGTTTGCTCTTAGCTACTAACCTTAAAAGATGACAGTTCAAACCCACGCAACAGTTCTGTGGAAGAAAGTCCTGGCAATCTGTTTTTGTAAAGATTATAGCCAAGAAAACTTACAGAGTTCAGTTCTGCTCTGCAACAGGTGAGGCCGTCATGAGTCGGAATCAACTCGATGGCAATGGGTTTGGTTTTTGGTTGGGGCAGTCAAGACAGCAGGACAGTATGATGGAGCCATTGCCACCTCAGGCCATAGGGGGAAGGGAATGGTGCAGGCACTGGATCCTGGAGAGAGTAAAGGACGGAGCCCTGGAGGTACAAAAGTTAAGCGCTTGGCTGCTAACCAGGGTTGCCAGTTCAAACCCACCCAGGGACTCCATGGGAGAAAGACATGGAGATCTGCTCCTGTAAAAATTACAGCCTAGTAAACCTTAGGGGGCAGTCACATGGGGTCACTGTGAGTCGAAATTGACTCAATAGCACTCAACAACAACAACAGTACATGCAGGCCAAAAGACAGCAGTCAGGGGAAGGATACCCTGACTTCACTCTCTCCAACCTTTCAACCTCCCTCTGGTGTCTTCTGTTAAATAAACTCAGCCGGATTCCAGAGAGCAGGGTTATGGAAGCCTGGTAGATACAGTCACACAGCTCAGCCTCCCAGGACACAGAGGAGAGTGGAGAAGGGTAGAAGGTAGATCTGGAGGGGCCAACTGAAATCATCCAGGGCAAACTGCTTGTAAGAGCCCAGCAGGGTTTGCAGGATGGCAGGCAGCGGTCTATGCTTCACAAACCACCTGGTCAATAATCCATCTAGCATTATTGTATTCTGTGGAATTTGCAAGTAGGAATATTACAATGTAATCATTTCCCTTTATTTCAGTAATTTAAGGAGTAAAAATCTTGGCGCCTTTTTCTCCTCAAGAGACCAGAGTATATTTGTGGGTCTAATAACATCTTTGCAAAAGAGAAGAAACATTAACTATTATCTTTATTACCCAGGCAGAGAATAAGCAATTGAGTGAAAAACCCTACTGTGATTGGATTTATTTTTCCAGAGAAATGCAGAAAATAGTCATGAATGTTTCATTAAAACTCTTCCTAATTATAAATATTTATCCATGTCTTAACAAGTACACATTTTAGCATTGCAACTATCCAACTCAGCAAACAACTCTGTAAAATTGTCCTTAATCTCTCAAAAATGATTCAGGAGTCCCACTGAGGCTTTATCACACATTATTTAGTAAATAAATCTCTCACACATGACTCTCCCAACCAGGAGGCATGAAAACCATAGCAACCAGGAGAAAACCGGAGAGGTGGCCAGTGTTTGCAGGACAACGCTAGGAGAGATGGAAAGCTTTCTTCAACTCTGACGCCCCCTCCCTTGATATTGCCCCCCTCCTCTGTAGACTGAGAACAAGTAAATGTTCATCTTGTCATACCCCACCATGCAACAAATACTATTTTAAAAACGAGAAAATAGAAGGAGGTATATTTAGAACTAAGCAGGAATGAGCTTCAAAGAGTTTAACTGGTCTGGTCTCCTATTTTCAGACAAATGACTACCATTTTATACACGAAGAAAATGAGAACCAGAGGCTTTAAGTCGCTTCTCCAAAGGTCATAGAACGGATACATAGAAAAAGAAAGTTGCAGAACTAAAGTTCTGAGCTTCCTTGCTCAGCCAACTCCAATTGTTTGCATGTGCTGATTGTATAAATGGGATAAGGGAAATGCAGACCCAAATTCCTTATACATCTCTGTCAGCAATTAGCATGCTATTATGACTAACGGAAATAGCATACCAAAACTAAAAGTAATCTATAAATTTGCAAAGGAGATCACTCACTGATCAGAAATTTCACATTTCAGAGCAAGTTTGCCTTTCAAAACACATCAGTGAAATATTTCAGGTGTTGGCTTCTATCAGCATAGACAGCAAAGAGCTAGGGTTTTTTATTCTTTCCGAGTCCTCTTAATTGTTAAAGAATTTGTTCATTTAGTTAAGGATAAATATTGTAGAACATGAGAGCAGCTGTGCACTGAATGATGTTAATTAAGCAGACAAAAATCATATATGCATAAAGAAGCACAAGCACAAAAGTCCTCTGCTTAGAGCTAACAGAAGCACAACTGAAATAAAGCTTATTGCCACGTCATCACCATCATCCAACCTCAAGGAATTTCACTGGATACAGACAGAATTCTCATCTTTATTCATGGTCCCTAATAAATTTACCTCAGCCCTGACCCTAGTTATGCATGTCCTGGGATATTAAATGAGGTTTGTCAAGGACCATTTCTGCTAAGTTTAAGTCTGGTATTTTCACTCTTATGAACATCAGTAAAGATTTCTCAGACCTAGCACCCCCAGAGAGTCTGAGTCCGTATTCTGGGACGGAGACCAGGCATCAGTATAGTGTAAAAGCTCCCCAGGTGATTCTGATGAATCAAAACACAGATGCCTGGGCTTATAGTCCCAGAAAGACTGACTCAGAATTTCTGGGGTTCAAGGCCTGGGAGGTCTTGATTGTGAAAAAGCTCCCCTAGGTGATTTTCATGCATACCAAAAAGTGTGAAATGTGCTCCTCAACTGACAGGCATTAATCTATGCATACCATCAGGGGGATACACTGGATCAACAATCTATGTTAAATGAACATTTGAATACAGACAGACTCAAACCATGCCCACAGCTACCCTCTCATTTTGGCTTTCCCATTTAGATAAATGCTAAATTCACTCCTCAGGGTAGCTGTTGAGCATCTTTAAATATACTATGGAGATTACAGGCACAACTCTGATGCATCTCTTATTATTTTTTCATAGGTTCACAAATCACCTTTATGAACACTAGCTTCACACCAAAAATAATAAAAATGCAATTTAAACAAGAACACAAACCAAGCAACATCCTCAATTTGAAAAAGTGTTTAATTTTACTGTAAGAATCTCTTTGTTCCCTCTCCTTTTATATTTAAAATAAATCTGAATCTATTTACAAAATCTTGTGCTGAACTAAGCGAAACATAAATAACACATATCATTAAAAGTCTGTAAGTTAAAATAACATTGGAGGCCGTCCCCAAAATCGCATCTAAGATGAGAACACCTTGGCATTTCAAGAAACACTTGATCAGAGAACAAGTCGTAAGTATGACGTCTGAAAACTTCAGAGTACAAAATGTTGACACCAAAAGAAATGAGTTGGTAAAAATTGAGAACAAATGGGGCCTAATAAATGAAAACTGATTCAAATAAAACAAACTGCTGGAAAGATTTTGCCCTTCACTCGAAAAACTGCAGCACATTGGTCTATGCAGTTTTTTCTTTTCTTATCTTTATTGTCTACAGATTTATTTGCTCTCTGCAAACCCTAACTGTGCAAAAATGTCATAAATTATAGAGTACAAATAGTGTCAAATCCTATACTCATAGCAAGGCTTTACATGGTAATCATGTATTCCTCAGTTTTAAATCCGTAGAAAAACATGCCCCTTGCCTACTAAGTAAAATAATGATAATTGCAAAAATATCTCAGTAGCTCCTGACAAGGAACACAACAAAAAGCCCCAGACAGAGCAGGAGAAAAATGTAGACCAACTCAAATTCACGTAAAAAGACCAGACTTAATGGTCTGATAGAGACTGGAGGAACCCCAAAAACTATGTCCCCTGGACGCACTGTTAACCCAGAACTGAAACCATTCCCGAAGCCCACTCTTCAGACAACGATTAGACAGGACTATAGAACAAAAAATAATACACGTGAGGAATGTGCTTCTTAGTTCAATCAGGTATACGAGACCAAACAGGCTGCTCCTGTCCAAAAGCAGGATGAGAAGGCAGGAAGGGACATGAAGTGATCGAATGGACACAGGGAACCCGGGGTAGAAAGGGGGCATGTGCTGTCACATTGTGGGGATTGCAACTAATGTCACAAAATAATATGTGTATAAATGTTTGAATGAGAAATTAACTTGAGCTGTAAACTTTCACCTAAAGCACAATTTAAAAAAAGAAAGAAAAAAAAAGTAGTGATGTTCCTCAATCTTGGCTGCCAGTGAAGGGAGGAGACAATAGGATGGGTGTTAGGCAGGACAGGGGCAGAACTAAACCATCATGCTTTTAATGGAAAGTCCAAATGCACTGGAAGAGCAGCTTCATACTTATTCCATCTACAGTTAGAGTAAATATGAATTTCTGGGTCTCAAGATCTTCTTGTCTAGCATGTCAGTGCAGCAAGCTGCCTCTCAAGGAACCAAAATAG